CGAAGGACTCCGGGCGGCTTACAATAAAACAAGGGAGGGGGGTAATACACAAAACAACACATTAAAATACACAACAGTCACAATTTCCGAGGGGCTGGATATTTCGAAAGCCCCCCGGCCTGCTGGAGCAGCCAGGACTTAACGGCTTTGTGGAAGGCCGGGAGGGTAGTGAGGGTCCGGATCTCCACAGGGAGATCGTTCCAGAGGGCCGGAGCTGCAACAGAGAAGGCTCTCCCCCGGGGAGTCGCCAGCCGACACTGGCTGGCAGATGGGATCCGGAGAAGGCCTAACCTGTGTGATCTAATCGGTCTATGGGAGGTAATCGGCAGGAGGCGCAACCACAATTGAGCGCTAGATTTTATGTTGCTAAGTGTTGCTAGCTCATTGGTCCCATTTCACGACTTTTCTTGCCCACCTTTGTTAAGTGAATCACTGCGGTCGTTAAATTAGCAACAGGGTTGTCGAGTGAATCTGGCTTCCCCATGGACTTTGCCTGGCCAGGAGGTCACAAAATGATTCCTGAAACACCGTCATAAATATGAGTCAGTTGCCAAGCATGTAAATCCCATGAACGTTGGAATGCCACAGCAGTCATAAATGCGAAAAATGATCGTGCCACTATTTTCAGTGCTGTTGTAATAGTGACTAAACGAACCGTTGTAAGTCGAGGACTACCTGTATGACTTATTTATACCCGGCTGTTATTAGTATTATAAATAACTCAAGGTGGTGAACATGCCCAATGCTCCTTCCTCCCCTTATTTCCCCCCAAAACAACAATCCTGTGAGGTGGGTTGAGTTGAGAGAGGGAAACTGGCCCAAAGTCACCCAGCTGGCTTTCTTGCTTGAGGTGGAACTAGAATTCACTAGTCTCCTAGTGATTGGCCTGAAATCACCCAATTGCCTGAGGCAGGATTAGAACTCGCCTGGTTTCTAACCTGAATTTTAAAATAAATACTTCTGGGGAATTTCTCTTACAACTCATTTTTTAAATTGCTTTATAGAAAAGTTGGAGCAAATGCGAGATCAGGAACGCAAAGAGGACACTTTCACCCCAATGCCTAACCCTTATTACATGGAATTAACTAAGTTATTGCTGAACTAGTAAGTAGGTTTCTTATTCGAAATAATGTTTGGAAATACAGCAAAGTCTAATTCTGCCAGAGCACAAAAAAATACCTAGGATTGCATTGGTTTGGAAATTGGCATGAACTCTACAAACTGCAAATGCTCCAGAGCACTTTTCTAATCTGTTTGCATCTATTATTTTATATAATATATAGTTATTTAATTTTAATAATGCATATACATATTGCTTGACACTTTTGGTTTGTATTTAGAATCTTATTAACATTGTTTCTATGAAGGATTTATTTTTTTAACAACGTGTGTGACCGCTACTTTTTTGTAATCTCACCAATCTATTTCTTTTCTTCATTAGTGCTGCAGATAATATTCCAAAGGCTGATGAGATAAGAACTTTGGTTAAGGATATCTGGGACACGCGAATAGCAAAACTTCGTGTATCTGCAGATAGTTTTGTCAGGCAGCAAGAGGTTCACGCCAGGGTAAGAGCAATCTCCTGAAAGGATTGTAGTCTTGGAAAAATATTTATGAAAGTGATACTACTACTATATGTCAATTTTGGAATATTAGAATATATTTTTATTACTTCATAACAGTGATAGTACTATGTAGTCTTGCAGGAATAGAGACGTTTTGTACACAAATGCCTGCAAGCTTACAATTGTGTAGCTTTATGGCTTGACTGCAGTCTACTGAAATGATGACATGTTGTGTTTGTGGCTGTGTATCCAAATGCATAGTTCTATTACTTATGCTCATAATAAAAGAGTGTGTTTTGTATAAAAGTACACATTTGTGGCTATGTAGTCTAAAAAACTAAGATTTGTGATTATCACTTATCTGAATGATTGGTATGCATTTTATTCCTCATTTATGTGTTCTCCAAGTATATTGGATGGCAACTTACATCATTCCCTGCCAGTCTAAAAGTGAATGGATTTTAACAATTCATTAGGGGTGCAGGTCACAATTGTTGACCCACCTTCCAAATTCTTTTAGCTGACATGGAATACAAATTGAAGGAGCATAATAAACTATGCTTACAGAAGCCTTGCTTTGGTGCATTTTGGGATCAGTTGAAGCTCTGGGAAAGAGGAAAATAAGTATATAGAGACATTTCAAAACTAATTAAAGAAGAAATGCAAAAAAAAGTGATTACAGAAAAGGGTTTAATGAAATGCAATTCAATTATCTTCCAGTTATTGTCAGATGCTAACTTATCAGCCACAGGAACTAAAGACTGGCTTACTTTTAAAAAGCGAATGGTGCAGTTCTGAAGGTTAACCTCTGGCGCTTATACTTCTTCAAGTTGTGTTGTTTTCTTTCTTTTTAATCAGCTGGACAATCTGACTCTGATGGAGATCAACACCACCGGTGCTTTCCTCACCCAAGCCCTGGATTACATGTACAAGTTGCGATCAAACCTCCAGCCAGGAGGGACTGTCGAATCCCAGGAATTTTGACAGCAGGGGTTTTTTCATGATCAGAACGATGACTCTTTTCAGCCTTTACCTCTCTGGCGTTCACTGGCTTCAGAGAAGAACTAGGCTGTGGCAAACTGTGATGTAACGTTCTTCATAGCATTTGCTTGTGGGGGGGGGGTAAAAATGATCTGCTAAACGATCATCAGCCTGGTACCTCTGCCAGTGCTACCACAGGGTCGCCGTTGTCTTTGGCGGGTGAGGAGGACCCTTGACTCCCCTTGGCAAGCAGGCTCAGTGTGCCCAACACACTCCCAAGATGCATCAGTGTAACTATTCAAGGTTGCCTGGCATTTGTGCGAGCTTGTTTTCCTAGTGTTTGTAAGTTGGAAAGAGGAAGCAAGTTAGTTGCCCCTCCGGGGGATGCTGTTCCTTCAAGGTCATGACCTTCTGATCTGTATGGAAAAGGAGATTATTTTAGTCTTCTGAATGCATAGTTCTCGGCAGCTGCCTAGGAAGTGACTTGTGCCTGGCAACTCAACTTTACATGCCACGCTGGATTTGCCGCTGTGTTACTCATGGAATCTACCCGCTCATTACCTTCGGAGATAAAGGATTTTTTTTCCCCCAGAGGCCATGAATGTGATCACTGAGGTATGGTGCCTTTTTGTGTGTGTCTGCCAAAAGAGACAGAACAGCTTTATGAAAAAAACGAAGCCACAAAACCCACAGAGTTTGGCTTCGGTTCCATTTTTCTTTTAAATGCTTGCTGTGGAGACTGTGACTAAACCAGCTGTTTGCAAGTAGCCAGATTCTAGCTATATTAATCATATGAGCAGTTTCACTGTTAGTCATAATAACACATGTTGTTAGCCATCAATTTTTAAATATTTGTAGACAGCACTTAACAATGCGGGGGCACTACAGGGATTTGCTGTGGTGTTTTATTAGGTAATGATCAAATAAATATTTTAAAAAGCAGTACATTGCTGCAGTTGTAACTCTCTGACCTCTCTGCCGTGTGTTGCGCCGCAGAACATTTTGGATTCAGAAGAGTGTGCACAAGGAAATGAGGGTTGCGTAACGCACTGTGACTTGTCCCTGTTTATGAAAAAGCTTATCAAAAACTGGAGGGTTAAATATTTGTAAAGTGGAATTGCAGTGTAAGTTGCCTTTTGCATACAGGTTTTTTTTTCTTCCTTAATTACTTTCAGTTTTCAGCAATGGTATTGAAAGTTTCGGTAAATAAATCTTATTCGGCAAACTAGCACTTTTAACATTAGACTGTGAATTTTTTGCAGGTAAATCTAATATGTACTAAAACAACAACATATACCTTTAACCTAAGTGTCCTTAAGTCTGAGCCCCTTTTAACTTCTGGTGAGGAATCACCGCTTCAAATATTAAAGCAATTGTTGTGCTTGTTCAGATGTACCTTTCTTTTCAATACACTCTTGTATGTTTTTCTACACATATTTTATCTCAGGGCCTGTTTGAAATCCAGCTTGACTGAATGCTGGCGGGCGATTCCTATCCTAATTTAACCCAGATTGTGTGAATGTTCATTCAGACGGGAGTACAGTATAACTGTGGTTGTGAGGCACCCCAGAGTAAATTATTACTACTGTGATATCCCAAGTCAAGCTGCTAAAAGATTGGATCTGTCTTGTCCAAGGCCCCATTCCTAATACAAAGGGCTTCTTCTATTTAACGGTGGATAGTCTGGGAAAATAATCCTTTGTCATGATTTAGGAACATTTTATTACTTTTTTTTTTTTTTGGATGTCGTCAGAAATTACAGCCATATATTCATAAATACCTAATAACTACATTCAACAAATATATTACATTACATTTAAGTCAAAACAAGTACACTTAAAACAAGTTGAATTTGTTTCACAGCATCTACTGCCCCAGCCTGGGCCTTTGCCCTCCACTTTCTCCTCCTCCTCTCCCCTCACACTCTGTGCTTTTTTCTTTTTCTTTTTTTTTTTGCAGAAAAAATCCTACACATGACACCAAACAACGGTCCAAAGGAAAGCAAATGAGTTCTTTTTTAAAAAATAAAAAAAAACTCTAAGCATTGGGCCGGGATGCTTATGGAGGGCGCGGGAGAAGGGAAGAACGAGAGTAACTATCACAATGATGGGGAGAAGGAAAGGGAAAAAAAACATTTGCAAAGATGGATTGGTCCAAAGTGGGCTATTGTTTGTTTGTTTCCTCCCCCCCCTCCCCCCTTTCATGTTAGCACCTTTTTAATCTCTGTCTTTTATCTGTTCTGCATCATGAGTGGGAAAGTGTTTCAAACGTCACCCGGGCCTATTTTGGGGAAACGGTGGTTTTCTCGCCAGCTTCTGCAGCTGAGATTGGCCTCAAAGCAAGCTTGTCTTAAGTGCACATTCGTTTCTTTTAATACATGGAAACCAAGCCAATTGGCTCTCCCGCGCGTGCTTAAAAAGCACATGTCGGTTCGGGCTGGGGGAAAAAAGCCACATGATGCAAAATATAGGCGACATCTTCTTTATTGGAGAAGGGGGAAATAGTGCAATTAAGCGTAGAAGGATGAGTGCAACAGCTTGGGTCCCATCCCTCCCCCCACTCCCCGCCCCTTCGCCTCCGTCCCTTATCAGGGGAAAAACCTTGCAGAAAAAGCAATAAAAGACATGATCACTATCTTTTGACAGATATTGCTCCCCCTCCCCCGCAGCTGATAAGCAGGATGTGAAAAAAAGATGTGAAACCACATCTTTGTGATCTAAGAGTGGGGGACAGTGGCTTTTGTTGTTGAGTCAGAAATGGAGAATGCTATATTTTTTTCCTTAACATGGCTTTCTTTAAGGGCAGCCTTCGCTCTGCTCTGTCTTACTGTCCCTTAAATCCATTTGTTGTGTTGATTTTGCCTTCTTTTCAAAGGCTGGCTTTTGTAAATCCGTCACAAAAAGGGCCTGAGTCCTGAATATATTGCAGTCTCCTAAGTTGAATCCTTTTCAAATGCTTTGGACCAGGGGATAAAAAATCCTTTCCAAGTTTTGCTTTTTGGTAACATCTAAAGGATGCCGTCACGACGACATTTTTTTGTTGTTTAAAAAAAGCACTTCCCCCCCACCCCTCTTGTTGCAGGCAGAGACCTCTGGTCATCTCTAAGCGTCACTAGGGACAGAAAAATAAAAATAAACAATGTCTTCATGATTTCTGCTCTTCTTTCTCATACTTCATGAGAGCTGATTGTCTTAGGTGATCATCAGAGAGGATGGGCCGATTTACATACTCAAGTAAATAAATCAAGAGTACTTGGCCACAACTAAGAACAAGACTTTTTAAAAATAGGCCACTAAATTTGCTCTTTAATGTCCCTTGTCAGGCAGTTTCTTCTGAAAAATGGCAAGGACTTTGGTATTAAGAAGTTGCATAGAATTGGGAAGCCTCCAGATGAGGCTTGTTCAACTTAGATGAAGCAGAATTTATATTTCTAAGCAGCCACGAAAAGCATTGGGTTCCCTGTAAGTAATCATACAGTCCTATGAGAGCGCTTTTTTTTCCATTTGCAGTTCCTTTGTTTTTCAGTAGCGCTATAAACGCAGTATTGCACATCAGCCGTTAAATCAAAAGGAGAAGGAATTATGAAAAAATAAAATAAAAAGAACCTGGCAAATTTTTGCTGTTGCAAAGACTTACAAACCTAAGCCTTAAACCCTTTAGGTAGAAAGGTGAGCTCTAAATGCAATAAATATTCAAACTACATTGAGATTAACTTCAATCTCTTCCAGGCAATTTTTGAATTATATAAAGAGGGTTGGAGAATCAAGAGGAAGGGATCTACCTTGAAGAGAACAAGAATAGCAACAACTGACCCTCCGTTGGGAGAGGGGGGCTCTCCCATCGAGTCTGGAATGAAATATAGAGTCTCAGGAAAATTAGTGGTTGGTCAGCAAAGGAAAGCAGGTGGCAGCTTAGAATTGGGCAAAATCTACGCCCGAGTAGTTCAAAAGTCATGGAATGGGCAGTGGTACCTAAATCTGTTGCGGTCATTTAATTTGGTTATTTACGTTAAGCAAAATGTGGGCTTGGACACACGCAAGAGCCTTGCAATCCTACAATTTTCTGGGTGATGCTGAATAGCCAGCATGCCCAACTCTACAGCCAATGGCAAAGGGTGCTAGGAATTGTAGTACAGCCACCTCCAGGGGTTGCAAACTCCTTAAGTTGCAGGAACCCATCTTTATATTCTGGCTGCCCCTTCACGCTGCAAAAGACTTGGTTAACACCGGAGGAAGATATGAAAGGAGAAAGAGGTTTTGACACCGAGAAACAAATGCCATGCTAACTTACCCATTTTGTCCCTAACAAAAAGATTCTCTTCTGAGATTGTCAATTTCACAGTTAATTCATGAAATTGACAACAATTTTTTTGCTTTTGTTTATTGAAAGAATAGCTAAAGTACTCCTTAGAAGTCTGGGTTGGATTGAGGGAATCTGTGTGGATGCCTTCAGTGTAAAAAGTCACTCAGATTGTGCTTTAAAGAAGAAGAAAAAAAAACCCCAAATGCTAAACTCTCAACCAATTCCTTATAAATATCCAGAAGCCCCCGTAAAGTTATGGTCGTCACAATGTGAGCTGCCGAATGAAGAGGGCCAAAATACTCAAAACTGCTTCAAAAGGCACAGGAACATCTTTCTTTTTTTGAATCTTTAGCAACAGAGGGAGAGCACAAAGGAGGGGAGGCTTGTTCTCAAAGCAGCTAAGGCAGTCCTCGACTTACAACAGTTCATTTAGTGACCATTCAAAGTTACGACGGCACTGGAAACAGCGACTTAGGACCATTTTTCACAGAGACAACCTTTCCAGCATCCCCGCGATCAAAATTCAGGCTCTTGGCAACTGGCTCGCGTTTGCGACCGTTGCCTTTTGCGACCTCCTGGCGAGGGGAAGCCAGATTCACTTTAACAACCAGCTTTACTAACTATCGACTGCAAGGATTCACTTTAACAACCGGCTTTACTAACTATCGACTGCAAGGATTCACTTAACAACCTTGGCAGGAGAGGAGGTAAAACGGAGCAAGAT